TTTTTTTTTTTTTTTTTTTTAAAGATGTATTTATTTATTATATATGAGTACACTGTAGCTGTCTTTAGACACACCAGAAGAGGGCATCAGATCTCATTACAGATGGCTGTGAGCCACCATGTGGTTGCTGGGATTTGAACTCAGAACCTCTGGAAGTGGAGTCAGTGCTCTTAACCACTGAGCCATCTCTCCAGCCCCTCGGTGAAGAAATTCTTAAGAGACACTTGTATCTCAATTTATCAGTGGACCCCAAAGAAACGGGAATTTCTTTCTTAAATCCCCTGCTGGGAGAGACCAGAGGGAGAATTTATCGCCTGGGAAGAGATTTCATAGTTGTAACAGCTTGTGGGAGTAGCTTACAGAATGAGACTGAATCTCAGACCACGGTGGGCCAATGGTGGGCCGGACCAGGTCTTGACTGGCACTTAGACACGCCTGTTTTTGCCTTCTATTTTAAGTTTGCTCTCACTCCAGAACCTGGAAGGCGGAGTTGAGGGGTTTGCTGGGTCTCTTTTTCTGTTGTCCTCTTTTAAGTTAGCTCTTTTTATTGGCTTAGGGATCAGTGGCTGGAGCCGACTTGGGGCACAGGTTGTGACATCCAACTTTTGTAATATTGTTTTTTTTTTTTTTTTTTTTAAAGATCATGTTCCATCAAAGGAACACCAAGTATGAATGTGTGACTATGGGATCCTGCCTTTAGGAGATATGTCAGAGCCTGCCATCAGGGAAGGACTGACTGGGAGCTGGAGAGAAAGGCAGCACAGCTGGAAGGAAGGAGAAAGGGAAGGGGAAGGGAAGGACAGCCACACTCTGTATCATTGTTTTGTTCGTTTTGCTTTCCTTAAATTATTATGTGTATGGCATGGGGGGGGGGGCAATTTTGTGTAATCTTAGTCAGGGTTTCAGTAATTGTATTTAGGCCTTATATTGCAAAATTTTCTCCTGTCCAATCTCTCTAACCCTGTTTTAGACGTTAAGACAGCCACTAACTCTCTAGCCCAGACTGGCCTTGAACTCACGGCAATTCTCCTGCCTCAGCCTCCTTCTTCTTCTTCTTCTTCTTCTTCTTCTTCTTCTTCTTCTTCTTCTTCTTCTTCTTCTTTTTAGGTTTTTGGAGACAGAGTTTCTCTGTATAGCTCTGGCTGTCTTGGAACTCACTCTGTAGACCAGGCTGGCCTCGAAACTCAGAAATCCGCCTGCCTCTGCCTCCCAAGTGCTGGGATTAAAGGCGCGTGCCTCAGCCTTCTAAGTGACAGAATTACAGGCACGAGCCATCATGCTCTGCGTTTACAGTATTTTGTTCTGTTTGGCTTTGAGTTTTGACGATAGGACCAGTCCTGTTCTGGAGGGGCGGTTGGGGACACCTCCGGGGCACTGACGAATGTTCTCTCCAAAACCGTGCAGCACTCTGCTAGGACATAGGCCCCCGACTAGGAGGGTAGGGATACTCCAATCCCTGCGACAATTCATCTGCAGAGTGCCTCTGAAACTGCACCTGGTGGCCTTGGGGTCGTGCCTCGCTCAGGACTGCGGGTTGTAGGGAGCATCAAGAGTTCCCCACTTCCCCTCACCTTTGGCTCCCAGCACCAGGCGAGAAACCTCCCGCCCACCGTCCGGCCCCCCTGGGTCCCACGTGACTTCCTGAAAGCCCAGGGCACCGCCCCTCCTGTCCAGTTTCGATTTCTTCCTCGCCGCTTCCCTAGAACCTCGCGGTGGTGTGTGCAGCTGTCCCTCGCGCGTCCCGTCGGGTTCCCCTAGGGGCGCGATGGCCGAGCTGTTTCCTCTAGCCGAGGAGTTGTCGTGCTCCATCTGCCTGGAGCCCTTCAAGGAGCCCGTGACCACCCCGTGCGGCCACAACTTCTGCAGGTCATGCCTAGATGAGACGTGGGTCGTCCAGGGCCCGCCGTACCGGTGCCCACAGTGTCGCACCGTGTACCAGGTGCGCCCGCAGCTGCACAAGAACACGGTGCTGTGCGCAGTGGTGGAGCAGTTCCTGCAGGCGGAGCAGGCGCGGACCCCCGTGGAAGACTGGACCCCGCCTGCCCGCTCCACCGCATCCAGCGCAGCCACCGAGGTGGCCTGCGACCACTGCCTGAAGGAGATCGCGGTGAAGACGTGCCTCGTGTGCATGGCCTCTTTCTGCCAGGAGCACTTGAGGCCTCACATCGACAGTCCGGCCTTCCAGGATCACCCCCTGCAACCACCCGTCCGTGACCTGCTGCGCCGCAAATGTTCCCAGCACAACCGCCTTCGGGAATTGTTTTGTCCGGAGCATGGCGAGTGCATCTGCCATATCTGCCTGGTAGAGCACAAGACCTGTACCCCTACGCCCCTAAGCCAGGCCAGCGTCGACCTGGAGGTAGGGAATGTCTGGTTGAGGGTATAGAGGACAGCCTGGGCTGAATTATGGAGAGATCGCATCCTGGGTAGCCCTGTAGTACAGTGGGTTGCTGGAGGAGATAGGCTTTGCTGGGCCAGAGATCCCACCCCTTCACAAGACCTCATGGCCTTAGGCTCCGTGGGCCGCTATCAGTGAGTTGGGCATTAGCGGGTTATCCCCACAGACCAAACAAGTAGATGATATATAGCCTTCCCCTCCATCCATTGCCTGCCTTCTCCAGCCCTCTCATGTCTATTTTACATAGCGGACAACTGAAGGCACAGGTAAGAGTGCCTGCCCCTAAGCCTGTGTTTGTCCAGTGGAGTTAAGTAAGTATTTTTGAATATTAACTATGGACCCTGGGGGTTACCTCTCCACTCCCTCCAGATCCTGGCAGCATGTAAGGGCTGTGTGTGCTTAGTTCATTCCACAGTTCAGGAAAACAGGCCCAGAGAAGTTAGCTCAGCGGGAACCAGACTGCTTTGACTCACAGTTTCTAGTTTCCTTTTCCCCTGTAGACCAGATCTACAGAGTCCAGAGCAGGGAGCGTTTTTTGGAGCCTTGAGGTCATGTGTAACAGAAGCCTCTGTTGATCTGGAGAGTTTTAACGGACAGGGAGTGTGAGCAGAGAGCCTCGGGAATTTGTGACCTACGGGGAGAGCCAGCACTCTGATACCTTAGTGTAGTCCATCTTTTTGGTTGTTTTCTTAGTCTCACTGCCTAGTCCTAGCTGTTCTGAAGCTCCATGTGTAGACCAGGCTGGCTTTGAACTCAGAAACCCGCCTGCCTCTGCCTCCCAAGTACTGGGGCTAAAGGCATGCGCCACCACTGCTGAGTTGGTGTAGTCCATCTTGGTGTGTGAAATTGAGCAGGAGTTCGGCCTCTGGACCTGGGTCCACCTTGATAGGGACTGGAAGTGTGGATCAGGGAGTCAGGGTTCCTAGTGGCCTTGCAGGATTGCAGTGATTTTAAGTGGCTTTAGTACATCTGTCAGAGTGTGATCCGATTTCACTTCTCTCTCAAACGTCTGGGAGGTTGAGGCCTGTCCCAATGTTGTGGAAGGAATCAGAAGCTTGGGTGAGGTTGGCAAGCTTTACAGTGGTGTCAGGACCAGAATTCCAGCTCTGCTCCCTCTTGCCACAGCCCTTTGTTGGCGTTGTCTGCCTCTCTGGGTCTTAGGTTCCTCAGGTCGTTCCCCCACCCCCACCCCCGAGTCTTGGCACCTGGATCTGTAAGTAACATCTTTTTAGTTCACCTCTTCAGTATGCCCCATGTGGGTATGGATACCTCCGAGTGTAGATGTGTAGATGTTCTGGGAGAAAGTCTGCCCCGCCTTTGGAGCTGTTGCTTTTGCTACCTACCACAGAGTTAGCTATTTGGCTTGAGGCAAGTCACTACAGATCCCTGGGTAGGTTGAGAGCCACCTGGGAGGTGCTGCAGAGGCAGGATCTAGTGTCATGAGGTTTGGCACTTAAAAGAGGCTCCCACCAGATTCAGTGTCAAGATATGGGTTTATCTACAAATGATAGAACGGGGAACGAGATGGTCTTGGGTTATAGGGAACGGTGGGTGAAGCATGCCTACAATTCCAGCACTTGGGAGGCTTAGGCAGATAGATCATCACGAGTTTGAGGTCAGCTTGGACTACATAGTTTCAGGTCAGCTACAGGGTGAGACCCTTGTCTCACAACGACAGCAACAAAAAATAACCAGTGGCCATCAAGACGGCTTGGCTGGTAAAGGGACTTGTTACCAAGGCTCTGTCCTGAGTTTGATCTCTGGGACTTATGTGGTAGAAAGAGAACCGACTCCAGCAAGCTGTTCTTTAACTTGTCATTTGTATGCATGTGATCACGTGTGTGCGTGGGCACACACAAATAAATGAATGTAATAAAGAGAAAGCGGATGAGGCAGCTTTCTGCAAAATCTCCATATAGGTTACTACCGTTTCTGTCATTGGACCTGGGCACCCTGGTCTATGCTCTGGGGCAGCCCCAGACAGGACAAAATGCCCAGATTGATCTCTGTCTCAGTCAAGTGGACTTACCATCATCCCTGTAGTAGTAGCCTGCTGTATAAGTACATATTTACCAAGGCAGAAGTAAGTGAGGGCGTGAGGGGCCTCCCCAGCCTGTCTTGGGCCTCTGCTCCCTTTGACCCTTTTTGTCCAGAACTGGAATGAGCAGCCATTCCTGCTGACTTCTTAATCCTGAGAGCAGGCCTCCTCTTGCCAGCCTTGTGTCCATATCTTTTTCAGCCCAGCTGCTGCTCTTGCTGTCTCAGTGCCAGCCCCTGGGAAGGACTGCTCAGTTTTGAGCATCCTGGCTGCTAGTTTGGGGGTGTAGACTCAGGATTCCATGCGGAGAACCCAGGTCCTTGGTCTGCAACATCTATCCTTGACCAGTGGACTGTTATCGCCACCTAAGTCCTTGAGCTGCCTCTCTGTGATTTGAGTGGAGCAGAGTGGACCCCCATCCACAGTGAGGGGACTGTTATCTGTGTTTGCTTAATGGTGGATAAACCCTTCCTTGTGGAGGGCTTGTCAGGCAGTTCTGGAATTGAGCCAGTTGCTAGCACCTGTTTGTTCTCAAGTCTTTTCCAGCCCTGGAGAGGCAGGATCTGCCTGGTTTTGCTCTTTGACCCAAGTCTCTCTCAGCCACTGTTGGAGGCCTGGGGTGGGGGAAGGGTTGTGTCATAGAGGTTGAGCCAAACATCACTGACCTGGGCTTTCTGGCTACAGTTTGTGCAGCCTTGATCTCTGTGTCCGGCCTTTACGTGTGCCAGTGGATGGTTCAGATCCAGCCCCAAGGTTAGGTCCAGCTCTGGAGTAGAGGAAGCAGGAAAGTAGAAGAGAGGGCTACTGTGTGCTGAGCTACTTGATTAGGGGAAGAAAATGTTGTTGTTGTTATTAATTTATTTGTAAAAATTCCTAGCATACACAGTTTGGTCGCTTGTCTATAAGTTGAGTACCAGAACCTTACCTGTGCCAGTTACTAACAGTGTGGTGGTCTTGGGTAAATCACCTGATTTCCTTCTGTAAAGTCTGAGTGATGTCTACTTCTCTGAGTTGCTCTAGAAGTTAATGGGTGTCAGGTGCTGGAAGAGCGTGTGAGCACTTCGTAACAGCCCTTGTTACTGATGATGGAGTGTCCCCTCTCATCTCTGTACACCACCATTCTATCTTAGTGGGGACACAGGAGACTGTCGCTCCTGGAGGTGCCTAAGAGCCTGATAGTTTTGAATTGTCATGGTTCTTTCAAACCCCAGTGGCTAGCTTACCCTGATTCCCAGCCCTCGGTGGCTCTGGCTGGGGTGGCCAAGTACAGCTTAGTATTTGTCCCTACCTTGCTGGAGGTGACAGCCTCACCTAGCTTCCTTCCACTGTTGGAAGTCACCTCTGGGGAGGACAGCCTTGGGTGTTGGGCTCCTTTGTTGGGTCCCCTTCTCCTGGAAACTACACTGCTTTGTTAACACTGCAGCACCTTTGATATTTTGTCTGCTTTCAAGGCTGTTTGCTGTAGTAGGGTGAATGACCTCACCTCGCGGTACAGATCGTCATGTCTCTGTGAGCTTGGCCACTTGCTATCCCTCCTTGCTTGGATTTCATGAGCTGTAAAATGAGCAGCAGGAAAAGAAATGGGTTGGAATAGAAGCTGACATTTACTATGACAGATCCAGGCAGGGCTCTGAGTACAGTCCTTGATTAGTCTTCCTGATTTCCCCTGTTACCTACCCAGAACAGATACCTACCCAGTGGTATCTGTTCATGACCAGGGAAGTAGGCGAAAACACACGGCTGGGAACAGGATTTCAAACAGGGTCATTTTGGTTCCAAGACTTAATGTTTCTGTATTGTCTTCCTGAAGGGATGCAGGGTAGGCAGAAGGAGCAGCGGAGTGGAGGGAGGGAATGGTCCTCAGTGTTGGGGAGGGGCTAGGATACTAGGCTAAAGAGGGGCTCTCTCTCACTCTGTGTGTTTCCTCTACAGAACAAACTGAGGCATAAACTCACCATCATGTACAGCCACATCAATGGGGCAACCAAAGCACTAGAGGATGTGAGATCCAAGCAGCAGAGTGTGCAGGTGAGTGACCCCCCCCCCACTCTAACTCCAGTCTGTAAGCTCCAAACCCCCTCCTCCTTCAGGGAGGCCATGGCCTGGGCGTGCTTGGGAATTTGGCTATCGGCAGAGTGCTTGTGCAGTTCACCTGAAGCCTTGGGTTCCATCCTGGTACCACAGAAACTATGGTAGAGTAGGATCAGAAGTTCAAGGTCATCTTTGGATCCATAGTCAGTTCCGGACCAGCCTGGATGGGTACATGAAATCCTGGCTTTTGTTTCATTTTTGTATTTGAGACAGGGTCTCACTATGTAGCCCTGGCTGTCAAGGAACTCACTGTGTGGATTAATGTGGACTCGAATCCACAGAAATATCTGCCTGCCTCTGTCTTCTAAATGCTGAGATAAGAGGCATGCATTCTCATGCGCAGCATGAAACTCTTGTCTTGCTGGGCGTTGGTGGCGCAGGCCTTTAATCCCAGCACTTGGGAGGCAGAGGCAGGCGGATTTCTGAGTTTGAGGCCAGCCTGGTCTACAGAGTGAGCTCCAGGACAGCCAGGGCTACACAGAGAAACCCTGTCTCAAAAAAAAGAAAAAAAAAAAAAAAGCCTTGCAAAGCATTCAGAGAGCCAGATAGATGTTCAGGAAATAGCCTCTGGTACTGAAGTTACAGAGAGTTGTGAGCTGCTGTCTGGGTCCTAGGTATTGAACCTTCGATATCTGGAAGAACAGCCAGTGCTCTTAACCACTGAGCCATCTATCTCTCTGTGCCTCAACGATCTCACTCTTAATTTAAGTACATTTACAAAGACCCTTGTCCTAGCAGAGGCCATGTTCACAGGCTCTGGAATGTCGGCAGATCTTTTTGGCTGTCTGACGATAACTCATAGGATGTACAGGGGAAAACACCAAGAGGGAAGCATCAAGGGCTAGCCGTGAACATGTTTCCATGTTAAATCAGGGGCAGAGTTGTTATCCACTTCCCATTTTAAAAAATAATTAAATTACCTTTGATTAAAAAAAATGTATATTATGTGTATGGGTGTTTTGCCTATTAGTATGTCTGGGCACCACATGCATGCCTGGTGCCCTGGAGGCCAGAAGAGGGTGTCAGGTCCCCTGGGACTGGAGTTGCAGGCAGTTAGGAGTCACCACCATGTGGTTGCTGAGAATCAAACTTGTGTCCTCTGGAAGAGCAACCAGTGCTCTTAACCGCTAAGCCATCTCTCCAGGGCCAGAGTACCTTTATAGAGAAAGAAAGGAGCTTGAGTCTTTAGAGTACTGTTGTTGAGCTGCAGTGCCCACTTTACCATGGCAACTGTGGCTTCATTGAACTCTGGGTTCTGATACCAACTCTGTCACAACTGGCCGCAAAGCTACAGTTGTGTTGGTGGACCTGTAAGCCTTTGATTTCCCACCGGCACGGTGGGGCCACAACTCTGAGGAGATGGTGAGACTTCCAGGATGAAGGTAGATGTATGAATATTGGCTGGAGGGCAGGCTGAACGAGTAGGAAGAAGACACCTCCAAATGCAGAGGCGTCAATATGTAGCTCATTTTGTTGACTTTAGTTAGCAACCTAAGTGTAACTCTTGACCCACAGCGTGGCTTTGCGTAGTGTGTTTTTGCATAGTGAGCGTGGCTTTGCACCGTGTGAGTGTTCCTGCTGTTCTACTGCTCCACAGTGTGATACTCTCAGCTCTAATTGAAGCTGGATTTTTTTTTCTTATTCTTTTGAAAAGCCAACGCCTATTATAGGATAGTTGGCCTTCAAGGGACAAGGTAACGGAGAGCAAAGAAAGAGCCTGGCAGATCCAGGGTTGCACAGGCTGTACTATATTACAGATTTATTGGCAGAAGAGAATGTTAGGTAGTGACAAGACAAAAGGGTCTCTGCATCCCAAGGCAGGAGAAAGGGGTTTATGTGCTAAGGTAGGCAGAGCCCGTGGCCAACTGAAGTTCACCTAATTTTCCAAAGTGATGATGATGATGAGGAGGAGGAGGAGGAGGGGGGGAAGAAGAAGAAGAAGAAGAAGAAGACGACGACCACCACCACCACCACCACCATCACCACCACCACCACCTATTAACATGTCCTGATGTCCTGTAGGGTTTGGGATATGTGTTTAGAATCATTTAGCAGGTATGACCAAGATGGCTAAATTCACGGCAAGCTGGATGGGTCGCTTGAACCAACTTCTTGGGTAACCTCAATAGTTCAGACACTAGGTCACCCTCACCTGCTTTTCTCTAGCTTGGGAAAAGAGGAACAAGATGGAAGATACTGGCAATAAGCAACTTCCTTTTAAGCAATCAGTGTGGTGTTTGTTGCACATACTACTTCTAGCCTTGCCTTAATGGAAGAAATTTAGCCACCCTGGCCAAGCCTGTTGCAGGGGAATCTGGGATTATGTAGTCCACAAAGCTGTATATCCAGATGATGCTCCTGTGTGATCTCTTACTAAGTAGAAAAGGAGGAAGATAACACTGAAAGACGTTGATGTTCACGGAGGAGGTACTCTGAAGGGATACCTAAGTGGATAAAGACTTGAGGGTCAGTGAAACGTCTTAGTGGGTGAAGATGCTTGCTGAACAAGCCTGAAAACTTGAGTTCAATCCCAGGACCCACAGTGGAAGAAGAGAACCAACTCCTGAAAGTCGTCCTCTGACCTCCACATGTGCATCTGGGGATGTGTGCACACAATGATAATAGCAACATCAACAATAACAGTAACAACAACAACGACAATAATAATAAATTTAACTGGCTTTGGGTGGTTTTTTTTTTTTTTCATTTATTTTTATTTTATGTGCCTTGGTCTTTTGTCTGCATGTATGTTTGTGGTGAGGGTGTCGGGTCCTGGACTTACAGACAGTTATGAGCTGCCATGTGGGGGTGGTGAGAATTGAACCCAGGTCCTCTGTTGAAGAGCAGTTGGTGCTCTTAACCTGAGCCATCTCTCCAGCCCCAAAGTGAACAGTTTTTAAAAAGGTGAATTCCACTCTTTTGGTATACATTGTGTATTTTTCTTTTTTTTTATGTTTGTCGTGCTTGATTCTGAACTATTGAGGTTACCCAAGAAATTGGTTCAAAATTATGACTGTCGAAGCAACACTGTCTACTTGAAACATCCCGGACACCTCTGATTTAATTTAAAACAATTTTGAGTTACGTGTATGGTGGTAGGCTTTGAACCTTTGACCCATGACCTCACACATGCTAGGTAAACACTCTGCCACTGAGCTATACTCACGACACCTGCAACTAATTTTAGTAATGCAACTTATTTAACTCAGTGTGGTCAAAGTGTTATTTCAATATATTATCAATAAAATTTCCTTTTTGATAGTACTGGGGATTGAACCTAGGTCTTTGTGCATGCCAGGCAAGTGCTCTACCAGTGAGCTGACTCTAGCTTAATAAAAAGCATTAATGAATTGGGGGGGGGGTGGTACTAAGTCTTTGACATCCATTTATTGTCTACATTTTTTTTGAGACAGGGTTTCTCTGTGGAGCCCTGGCTGTCCTGGAACTCACTCTGTAGACCAGGCTGGCCTTGGACTCAGAGATCTTCAAATGCTCAGAAGCCACATGTAACCCTGAAAAGGAGAGTTCTAGAGAGTGATCGATCGTCTTTAGGGGTTTTGAAATTGTTTCCTGCCTCCAGGCTAACCACAGCACTTGGGCTCAAGTGACCCTTCTCCAGAGGAACTGGAGTAATAAATTATGTGTCCAACTCGTTTTTTGCTGTTTCAAAAAATTTTGCTTGTGAACTGTTGTCTCCCCTCTTCCACTACCCCAATTTGAAGACAAGAGTCACATGTAGCCCAGGGTGGCCTCAAGGATATAGTGTAGCCAGAGATGACCTTGAACTTCTGTCTTGGCCTCCCAAGTGCTGGGATTATAGTTGTGAGATACCGTACTGAGCTTTGCTTGTTAACATTCTGTTTGTTTGTGTCCTTGGTTGGTTGGTTTCTGGGTTTTGAGACAGGGTTTCTCTGTGTAGCCCTGGCTGTTCTAGAACTCACTCTGTAGACCAGGCTGGCCTTGAACTCAGACATCTGCCTGCCTCTGCCTCCAAGTGTTAGGAGTAAAGGCACACACTACCATTGACCTGGGGCTTGTGAATTTCTTACATGTGTTTCTCTGGGCAGGTAGTTAAAGTACCTTCCTAGGAATTGGGGTTGCTGGGTCTTGGGATGTGATCACCTCCAGATGGACAAGACTTTGTCAAGTGGCTTCCCAGGGTGTCAGCATGAAGTGTCACGGAGTTCCCCGTGCTCCCGTCTCACCCACACACGGGAGTGCAGCCTTAGCATTACCAGCAGTCTGACAGGAGCCCCTTCATTTTGGCCTTGTAGGATTCTATGAAGAGGAAGATGGAACAGCTGAGACAGGAATATATGGAAATGAAGGCTGTCATTGACGCGGCAGAGACCAGCTCCACTCGCAAGCTGAAGGAGGAGGAGAATAGAGTCTCTGGAAAGCTCGATACCGTCTACCAGGTCCTTCTCAAGAAGAAGAGTGAGATGCAGAATCTGAAGAAAGAGGTTGAGCTCTGCCTGGCCAAAGGGGATGAGTTTGAGTTTCTGGAGGTGAGTTGTGGCAAGGGTGCTGTGTGTGTGTGTGTGTGTGTGTGTGTGTGTTCTGCCGAGCATCACCTAGAGTCTGGACCTCATAGAATCAGGGCTTTAAGAGGTCATTCGGAAAGATCTCAGAGATATGCTGTATGTCTACGCTCTGCAACAGCTTACCAGCGTTTAGGGGCTTTAGAGAACCTCTGATGATTATCTCCTGGTTCCCTTCACTCAGCGTCTGGGCGTGGCTTCCCAGTTGTCATAGCACCAGCAGTTTAGCTGCAGGCTGGGCTGTATTGATTTTGGAGGGAAGGGTTGTTTTCCAAGAGCACCTGGCTACTTAGTTCCTCAGGGTTATAAAGCAAATGTAGACTTTCTTGCTAGCTGTCAGTTGAGGCCTTCTTTTAGCTTGGCAGCATGTGTTTGCTCAAGTCAGCAGAAAGATTGCCCCCTCTAGGAAGGCCCACATTCTTCTTTGAAGTCTTTTACCCAATTAAGTCTGGTCTACCCAGGATAATAATAATCACCCTCTTGATTAATTCTTTCAACTGGTTGGATATCTTCATTGTTTCTGTGGTGGTGTTCCTTCTCTGTCCCTAGTAGTTCGTCACGCAGTAATGCCCTTTCCGATCTGCCCTGTATTCAGGGGATGGTTATGGAGGCCTCTTGGGAGCATCTTTGTGTGTCACTCCCTATATATGTGTCTGCCTTCTCTTCCTGTCCACCTCACATACTCCCTGAAAATGTCTTTCTGAAGCACTGCCTTCCTGCTTTGGCTTGGCGCTGTGTCCCTTAGCATGGTCCATGAGTGAGGTCCTTGCTGTTCACACTTGGTCTGTGCTTTCAGGCTCACCTCTTGCCTGTACCCTTTGTCCGTGCCTTGTGCTCTGACCACAGCAGGTGCTACCCTCTTCCTGCCTCAGATATAGCTCTGAGTGGGAGTCTCATCTTGATCTCCTCTGCCCAGTGGATTATGTCCCTTTTCTAGGGCTACCAGGGTCATGCTGTCATACATTATTAGTGTTGCAAGTGTTGCAGAGTATGTCCCCTTCCACCCTACCCCCAACCCCTGCTACCACCAGAGTGCTGATGACGTCATTTCAGATGTGCTTGTTCTGTGTACCCTTTAGCTATAAGCCACATCTTCTCACTTACCTCCTCTACCTCATCTGTCTAGTTCAGGGCCAGGATCTCTGTGAACTACCTGGTTTCGTCCCCCAAGGACCCAGATTCCCTGCACTGTACAAGAATGATGAGACGTCCTCTGTCCATGATGCTCACTGGTACCTAAATGGGGGCTACCCCAGGGAGCTCATTCCTGTGCCTAGGAACTACTGAGTTCTCTGAGAAAGGATTCGAAGTCCTTGTCTGAGCCCCCTTCTTCAAGGAGCACTCCGGCTAGTTTCAGGATCAATGACCTTGACCTACTGATTGAGGCAGGAAGTTAGGCTCATTGTTACCATAGGAAACATCGGTGGGTTCGATGAGGCTGGAGGTCCAATCCTGGCTTTCCTCCAATCACCTGTGCTTAACACCTTGGCTTTTCCCAGAGAGCTGCAAAATTGCAAGGAGAGTCAACGAAGCCAGTCTACATCCCTAAGATAGATCTGGATCATGATTTGATAAAGGGAATCTACCAGGGTGCATTGGACCTCAAGAGTCAGCTGAGGCTCTCCGTCAAGTCGCTGCAGGACAAGAAGGTTGAGGAGCACTGTGGCTCAGGTAACAACAGTGGCCCAACGCTCACGAGCCTTGGGGTGCCTTAGGGTGGGAGAGGCGTCATGCAGAACATTGGCACTTGAATTTCAAAGATCCTGAAACCACCTCTGCTTTGTCCTGACGTCATAGCTACTTTTCCGTACAGAGGATTGAGGCTTGGTATTCTGATGGGCTCTGGAGGCCAGCATGGATGGGCTTTGGGTAGACTCTGGGTTGCCAGTGTGTTTGGTGGACAGAGGGCTAGTTTCAGGATGGGGAAATCTGAAATTCCTTCTTATCACTCCTTTGCATTCCTTCCTCCACATCCCAACCGCCATTATGTCTCACTGCTTTACATAGACAGACAGACACACACACACACACACACACACCACCGCCAACACCCAATTCTGGGGACTGGTCCCATTGTATGCTAGGCAAGCACCCCACCACAGACATCTGTCTATACCTAGCCATTGGCTTTTTGAAATAAGATCCCTCTAGGTAGCCCAGGCCATCTGTTACCTCCCAACTGGGGGATTACAGGTGTGTACCACCACACCTAGCTGTCAAATATTTCCTTTCACTTCTGACCTTGCCCACTGAGCCGGGTGAAACACCATCTGGCTGCTGTCTGATACCATTACCTGCTCCATGACCATGCTAGCTTCTTACAAGGTCGCCCCCCCCCATCCGTTGTTATAACCAGGGAGGGTTTTATAGGATATAGATGACACCGTGTTTCCCTCCTAACCGCTTTGGGAGCTTTCCAGTTATCCCAAGATGGCAGACCAGACCCTTGACCTTGGCCAACAAGCCAAAGTAGCTGCTGTCTTTCCATCCTTGGGTCCCTGAAACACCTCCCCCATCTCTCAGTGCCATGCTTCCTGCCACAGGACCTTTGTATATACCCTCCCTGACACACGTTGCTTGGAGATTTGGTTTTGCTGCTGCCAACCTAATCTAGAGCCTTCATATACCAGGCAAGTGCTCTTTACCATATGGCCCCTTTGAACTTTTTTTTTTCTTTTCTTTTCTTTTTTTGGTTTTTCGAGACAGGGTTTCTCTGTGTAGCCCTGTCCTGGAATTCATTCTGTAGACCAGGCTGACCTTGAACTCAGAAATCCACCTGCCTCTGCCTCCCAAGTGCTGGGATTAAAGGCGTGTGCCACCACTGCCCGGCTCCCTTTGAACATTTTTATTTTGAGGCAGAATCAGGACCACAGGAAGAGCAGTCAACACTCTCAACAGCTGAGCCATCTCTCCAGCCCCACAGAATCATTTATTTTATTTATTTATTTTGAGACAGAGTCTGTCTACTATAAAGCTCTGGCTGTTCTGGAACTTACTATGTGGACCAAGCTGGCCTCAAAACTCACAGAGATCCCCCAGCCTCAGTCTCCCAAGTGTTGGGATTAAAGGTGTGCACACCACACCGGGGCATTGAGGAAGGATCTTGTTGAGTTGCCCAGGCTGACTTGAGTTTGCCTCAGGCTCCTAAGTAACTGAATTATGTATTTCATATGCCATTAGACATTTTAGTTTTGCTAAGCGTCTATGTTTGGTTTCCTGTGGCTGTGATAAAATATCCAGACAAAAGCAACTCAAGGGAGAAAGGGTTTGTTTCAGCTCAGAGTTCAGGTCACAGACCCTCACATAGGCAAGGCAGCAGGGCTTGAAGCAGCTGGTCACGTGACTCCTGCAGTCAGAATTGCAGTGGATGTTTGCACATTAGTGCTCAGCTTGATCTCTCCATGATCTCTCCATTTTATACAGTGCAGCATCCCAGTCACGGACCAGAGCATCCGGGCTGGGTGTAGTTCCCCCACCTCAACCAGTGTAATCTTGATAACTCCCAGGCCCCTGTGGAAATGCTTTAACATTGGCCACCACGTTCGGTTTTCCTCTCACTGTGTGAAAATCATTGAATGGTTATATTTTTCTGCCAGGTTCCCTTAAAACCTCACTCCTTTAAAAAGAAAACATTTGCCGGGCGGTGGTGGCGCACGCCTTTAATCCCAGCACTTGGGAGGCAGAGGCAGGCGGATTTCTGAGTTCGAGAGTTCGAGGCTAGCCCGGTCTACAGAGTGAGTTCCAGGACAGCCAGGGCTACACAGAGAAACCCTGTCTCAAAAAACCAAAAAAAAAAAAAAGAAAACATTTGTTTATTCAGGATATATACATGTATGTTTATGTGGACATATGTGAACATGTGTGCTATGATGTAGGGGTTGAGGTCAGAGGACAACTTGTGGAAGTCGGTTTTCTCCTTCCGCTGTGTGGGTCCTGGCAATTGGACTCAGGTTTGGTGGCCCCCAAAGAGCCATCTTCACAGACTCATTTCCACTCTTTGGAGTAGGATCTTTTTCTTTGGGGGTTCTGGTGGTGGCCCTGAACTTCACTGTGGCCATCCTAGTGTCCTTGCAGAAGGGCTTCTGAAACAGGTAAAGATGAGTTGAGGTACCTTGTGGAAGGTTCTAGAAGCACTTCACATGAGGAAAATCTGCGAGAAAGTAGACTGCTGAGAGAGGGAAGAAAGGACCAGGGGACAAGAACCTGACGTTGGCCTAGCCTCCACTCCACACCAGACAGCGTCACCTCATTCAGGGATCCCATTAGCCATCATCAGGTTCATGTTCACCTTGATGTATGGCCAGAGAAACCAGCGAAGTCCCATAGCTGGGTGCTGGTAGAGTAAACTTTCCCCCAGCTGTGCTTTAAGCAGAGGAGAAAAGGAACAAACAGAATTGGTCTACCTCACGCTAATTCTGTCTCTTGCAAATGACTGTATGGGACAGGCAGTGGAAGGGCTGTCCGTGTGGATGTTCTGCCCATAGCCTCGACAAACCTGGCACTTAAGAGTTGGTAGGGAGGACCCACATACAGCTGGACCCTTTTCTCTGGCACAGGTAACGTGGGAGACCATACAGAGTCTACTTCCAAACGCTCTGGGAAGAAGACTGCACGTAAGTATCCCCTCATTTTTTCTGGTCTCATTGTGGCTGTCTGTGGCTGGCAGGTGCATGGTTGAGACCATTGCAGAGCCTACTGAAGCTTCCGGACGGTCACAAGTTTTCACGGGTGTGCGCGCGCGCACGCGCACGCACTCGTGCATGCACTGTGGTACTCGTGTGGAAATGGGAAGTCAGCCTTGGGCATCGGTCCTTACATTCTACTTTGTTTGAGGCAGGGCCTCTTATGTGCCATGGTACAAGCCAGGCTTGCTGGTCTGAAAGCTTCTGGGGATTCTCCTGTGATAGATAGCTATCATCTTGCTGTAAGACTTCTGGGATTTTAGACACATGCTAGCCCATCTAACCTTATCTGGGCTCTGATGATCTGAACTCAGGTCTTCAGGCTATCGAGGCAACTGCCTTACCTACTCAGCCATCTTCCTAGCCCTGTGTGTCTCTCTCATTCTCCCGAGTGCCGTCTTCCAGTGAGCCATAGGAAATGTTTCCCTAATTGTCCCTGCCAGTGAAACTTTGAGTCTACACATGCACAGTTATATCGGTTTATTTATAAAACGTGCAAGTAGTAAGCAGACTGGTGGCGCACACCTTTAACCCCAGCACTTGGGAGGCAGAGGCAGGTGGATCTCTAAGTTTGAGGCCAGCTTGAGCTCTAGGACAGCCAGAACTATGAAGAGAGACCCTGCCTCGAAAAAAAAAAAAAAAAAAAAGAACGCTTTTTGCATCTCATACCTCAAGCATTAGATTTTTACCTCTGCTCTCAATGACAGTGCTGTCATTGTCATTGAGAATGTGGACACGGAGTTGGGAGTATGAGTCTCCTTGTCCCTCACATTTGGAAAACAATGACATTGGAGCCCACGGGATGATAGTGAGGTTCCCACAGAGACACAGTGGTTGTGAGAACTCTTCATAGCCCTTAAACAGGGAAGCTGTGACCGCTTCCCCAGGGTCAGTAGGAAATGGCATCAAGGACCCCTGATGTTAGCGTGTGTTGGGAGAAGGAGAGGACTCTGTGTTTTGCTGCTGTTGCTTGTCTATAATGTGTGGGTTGTCCTCAGCAAACCACTGCTGGGTTTCAGTCCCTCTAAGGGCTAGGACACCTGGTGACAGTGTGCTTGTGGACGGAGGAAAGCCCCTGGGAAAGCAGGCTGTTGTTAAAGCACTGTCATGATATTTAGCCAGGACTATTTATATTCTAATTTCCTCTTTTTTGCTTGCTTTTTTTCTTTCTTTTGTAGAGCTCTAATTTACCTGTAGTAAAATGCACAGGCTCTAAATGTACAGTCAAATACATTCCGACCAATGAGTTCCATGTTACCATTACCCAACTCAATGTAAACACTTCCTAGTAAATTCTTCCTATTTCCTAATAGACAGTGTATACCCACTGTGACCCTAGTGGGTTCCTATACTTGCAGATGTGTGTTATCAGCCACTGCCTTATATTTCAAGTTAAGCCATCCTTCCTTCGTATGAGTCAAAGGCATACTGATGAATGATACTATGATCTTTTTTGTGTGTGGCATCATGCTTTAGAATATCCTAATCCTGGGCTGGAGAGATGGCTCAGTGGTTAATAGCACTGACTGTTCTTCCAGAGGTCTTGAGTTCAAATCCCAGCAACCACATGGTGGTTCCCAACCATCTGTAATGCAATCTGTTATTCTCTTCTGGTGTGTCTGAAGAGAGTGACAGTATACTCATATACATAAAATAAATAAATAAATATTTTTTTAAAAAAATCTTAATCCTAAAATCTTTTCTTTTTAGCGGACAAGAAGACCAAGAAAGCCCGTAAGTTGTACATCTGTGTATTTGGCTCCTGTGTGTCTTTTTGTTCTAGTGACTTGTGTGAGCCTAGAGCTAACGTTGACAGCAACAATTGACCTGCTTTAATGAGGGTTCTGCAATGGACCCATTCTTACAGACGTATGGTGTGAGGGCAGGCAGCTCTGAGCAGGGAATGGAGGATGGGGATGTGGATGGGTAGTTGAATGGGTGGCTGATGGTAGTTAACGGATAGTTGAATGAGTAGGACAGATAAAGAGCCTCATCTGGACTCACTTGTGTGGCCCTGGCTGGTCAGATGTGTCTGTGGAAGTTGAGAGTCATCTTGGAAGGGAAGAGAAGTCATCTGGCCCTCTGGGTTGTATTGCTATTCCATGTTTATCCCCCCCTTGCTTCCTAGCTGTTGCTGCCACCCCTGCCTCCTACTTTTCCTTTCCCAACAAGGTGCCCACCTTTGGAGCTCCTGGCCAATCACTGGAAATTCCCCCTGATGGTGAGTCGGTGTGGACAAGTGCCAGGGAGTTAGCTACCATGTGTCCTGAGTTCCCCGTCTTGAATACTATTTTCTGTTTTGTGTTCTAGCCACACCCAAAGCCAGTGCTGCACAGCCAAACTCTGTAGCTCTCAAGGCTAAGATACTAGAAAACTTTTTAGCCAAGTCCAGAACCGAGCTTCTAGAGTGTGAGTAGCGTGGCCAGGTGGATGGAAGAATGGCTGGGCGGCTACATGCGTACATGGGTGGATGGGTGGATGGATGGATAAGTGGATGGGTGGGTGGGTGGGTGGATAGATAAGTGGATGGATGGGTGGGTGGATGAATGGGTGGATGTATGGGTTGGTGGGTGAACTGATGGATGGGCAGGTAGGTGGCTAGGTGGGTGGATGAATAGACAGATGAATGGGTGGTCAGTGCACTGGGGAGTGGGTAGCTAGATAATGTGTGTATCTGAATAAGTGTTCTGATAGATGAATGGTTAGTTGGATGGGAGGGAGGGTGGGTAGACGGATGGGTAGATATGAATAGGTAGATAGATGGGTAGTTAGATGGGTGGGTAAGTGGATGGATGGGTGATGTGTAGATAGATTGGGTGGGTAAGTGGATGGATGGGTGATGTGTGAGTAGTTAGATGGGTGGGTATGTGGCTGTGTGGATGGGGAAAATAAATGTAATGGACGGGGAAAGCTTTAAAAGTGCAGGTACCTTGGGCCCCTTGTCATGATTCCCTGGGGGCTGTTTTCTCAGATTTCGTTAAAGTCGTCTTCGACTACAATACCGCCCACAACAAAGTGTCTCTGGCAGACAACTACACCACCGCCTCTGTGGCCGACACCGTTCAGCACTACCGATCCCATCCCCAGAGGTTCACCTACTGCTCTCAGGTCCTGGGGTTACACTGCTACAAGAAAGGCATTCACTACTGGGAGGTGGAGTTGCAGAAGAACAACTTCTGCGGGGTAGGCGTCTGCTACGGCAGCATGGAACGGCAGGGCCCCGAGAGCCGGCTAGGCCGGAACCCCAATTCATGGTGTGTGGAGTGGTTCAATAACAAGATCTCCGCCTGGCACAACAATGTGGAGAAGACCCTGCCCTCCACCAAGGCCACGAAAGTCGGTGTGTTGCTTAACTGTGACCATGGCTTCGTCATTTTCTTTGCTGTCACCGAAAAGGTCCATCTGATGTATAAGTTCAAGGTGGACTTCGCTGAAGCCGTGTACCCAGCCTTCTGGGTGTTCTCTGCGGGTACCAAGCTCTCTATCTGCACCAAGTAGTCAGGCCACTGGGCCAGCCACAGATACTTGGGCTTGCCAGGGAACATCCGAGACCGGTAAAAACGCTGTAGGAGGGACTCTTCTTTGGAGAACTTCTGAGTCCCTACCAGATAGGGGATTGGGTGGGGAGCTGGGGATGGGAGGGGGGATAAAAGGGGAGATTAGTCTCAGAAAGGGGTGGGGTGATTATCTTGTAGGTGGGGAAGCAAATCTACCTCCTTATGCCCCTGAGGGCAGGGTGACCTCCTCCCAGTGTTCTGGGAAATCTCCATACTGCTTGTTACTTGGGCAGAGCTTCAGGGAAGTAAAATTATTAGTGTTCCTATTGTCTTACAGAAAATCTATAGCCATTAGCCATGTTCTTTCTCAGATGACAGATGTCCACCCAGTTCTGCTCTCTGGGGTAGGCTTCAGATTTTTGTGTTTTGATTATAGTCTAGATTTTTCTTTCTTTTTTTTTTTTTTCTTTAAAATAAAAGCCAGGTGTAGTGGCGCATGCCTTTTAATCCCAGCTTTCGGGAAGTAGGAGCAGGAACATCTTTATGAGTTTGAGGCCAGCCTGGCATATATAGTGTGTGTTAGGACGGCTAAGGCTACCTAGTGCCACCTTGTCTCTGAAAAACAAACAAAAATCCAGTTCTTGAGTTCAATGTATATATTATCTCTTTTTGCTGGGGACTAAACCTACGGCCTTGCATGTATGCCTTACCGCTGAGCTTCAGCCTACTCTGAATTTCCATATAACCCTTCCCTCAAGGAACCTTTTGTAGATAAAGCTGTAGACCGACTGTCTGAATCAGCCTGTGTTGGTTTTTGTCAAGGTTACCCAGACCTGGTTGAGACAGAAGTCTCTCCCTCTTCAAGGGGCAATTCTCCAGGGACATGTTGACTGTGGCCATGGTAGAGGCCTTTCTTCTCATAGCCTAGTCCGGGAGTGGGGGTTGGGGAGCAGAACCCTGGCTGGATTATGGGAGCCTGATGGCTTTGTTCTTACCCTTATCTTGCCTTGACAGCTGTTCCCAGCAGCAATGTCCTCCTCCTCTGGGTTATAGATACTGGGCTGATGGCTATAAATGCCGCCATTTGCCCTTTGTGGTTACTGCCACAGTTAAGTGAACAGCCACACCACATTCCCAGAGCCTACCGTCATGTCGACGGGCTGTGTGTGGTTGCTTCAGGAACCTTGCTAGATCACCTAATGGGATAGGGTACTACCTATGGCCCGAAGGGTCCTAAAACAGACCCGTGGGCGATAGCTGGGTTCCTGTTTATCTCTGGCCACAGATTGCAGGCCCAGTGATGAGTCAGACCTATCACCTGCCCTGACCCCTTCACTCTCTTCCTCATTTTTGAGCCAATTCCAGATCCTCATATAGACCAAACTACAGGTTAGGAAGACTTTTAAGGATAAGGAAGAAGAATAACAAGGAGGGTCCAGGCAGTGGCTGTTTTCTTTGTTATCTTTCACAGTGAAAACAGCCCAGGCCACTAAAGGGCAGGGATGGGTGACTGGGATCTCCCCACCTCCTCCTGTCATGATGTCAAATCCAGATGATGTGAGGATTTGACCTCTTGTGACAGGAGTCCAGCTCTCTCTTTCCTGAGTGGGAAGCTCCTGCTTGTGAGCATTCTTTTGAAGAGAGGTCACCATAGGGAAGGTAGGCCCCTAGACCTCTCATATGATGGATATTTGAGAACACAACACATCTCAGGTCTTTATGGAATCCCAGGCTCTCAGTATTGGCATTCCTGTCAGACGTGTGATCTGTGTCTTCTCCCAGAGGGATGTTCTGTTTCCTTGAAGCTTCTTTGCGGGGAACACATCCCTGTAGATGATGTGTGGGCTGTGAAAGGTTTCTTCCTTTCCCACACAAATTCTTGGCGATGCTTCTCCCAACTTTGAAGATGCCTGAAAGCATCGTTGCTGGTCATATTTTTTGAGGCCAAATCAGACTTGGGAAACAACTAGGTTCAGAGAAAAGGAATGCCAAGGATTAACTCAAGAGTCCTGCTTGGGCTTTTCTGCAGAAAAGGAGATGGACAGTCGGGACTCTTCTTAGGAAGTGTGCACCTCAGGCTAGGAAGGCATGCGTCCCTCTGTTTATGGGAAAGCCAAGCAGGCAACCAAAGCCCAGAACTGTGTGACTTGCTTTGGAGTTGTGGGTGGAGAGGTGTACCCTTGCTGTCTGGAACCTTTCTGTTTGCAATGGTAACACCTTACCTTAACCATAAGCATTTCTGGGTTGATGTACTAGAGTATATCAGAGTGCCCATCTCACTTCGCTCTTTGCAGAATTGGGCAGGTGGGGAGGTGGAGGATCGCTCTGTTCACTACTCTTGTCATTCCAACATGGAAGAGACTCCTAACATGGATGACAAGAAAACCCCAGGGCCCTGTGGACATACAGACATTTCCAGAAACGTTGATGTAAAAGTTTGTCCTAGACCAAAGTACTGGGGACTATCTCAGTCACTCTGGTGTGATAAACTAAAGGTCAAGTCTTTGTATTTTTCTGGACTGGCTACTCTCTCTGATCACTCAGAAATTGATCTATTTTTGATCTATTACTAATACCGATATGTTGTCTTTTATACTATTGATTTTTAATTGTTTAGTTAATTACTAATGGTTTAGCTATGGCTTCTTGAAACCTAGTGTTTTAAAGGTAATTCATCATCAAGATAACCATTATACAGGGCAAGGCTGGCTATTGTACCTTACTTTGGATGCAGTGAAACAGCATTCAGCATCTTCTCTGGATTGAAGCGTGGCTGAAAGATGTCACTCAAGCTGAAATCCACTGATGAGGTACCCACCCCCCTAAAAGCTACTGCCCAGGGCCTCTGGGTGCCCAGGCTCCACTCCAGAAGCCTGCTATAGCATAGCGTCAACTGCAGAAAACTTTGGATAAAGAATACTCAAGAGAGAGAATGTATGGACTTAGCTTCAAGACAGTGCCAGGTTGGAACACTGATGCGGAGTAAGCCTACTTGAGTAACCGGCAAGCAGCACTGGGAACCCAGAGCTCGCTTGCTTTCTTTTGTTGCTGTTGCATAAACTTGACCATTTCTGTCATGAGAAGCTAAATAGTGAAATGGAAAACAGTCCTGACCAGAGATGGACCCTGTTCATGATCTCTACAGGGGAATAGGGGTCTCAGGAAGTGTAGATACTTTGTTGGCTGTTAAAGAATTTGGCTTGCCTTTGTTGTGAGTTTAAGTCCTTAGAATTTCCTGAGAGGATGTAGTGTCATTGTTACTTGTCTGCCTTGTGCGTCGCAGCGGAATTTAGGTCCAGAGATGATGACCCAGGCTGGTAGGTAGCCACTACCAGCTTGGTGATTGATTACAGAGTTGAGGTGTTGAGCTCCAAAGACTTCTGAGGGGAAGAAGAAGGAACTAGGGGGTTGAGGTCAGTCCAGGACCTCTGTGAATCCTGCCTACAAACGATGGTTCAATTCCAGCTGCCGTTGAGACCTAGTGTAACTTCCTTCCAAGTGATTACGTAGCTGTGCTCCAGGCTGGTGCTCTCTTGTCCTGTGATGGCAGGACAGGGAGGCTGTGCACTTGAGACCCTTCTAGACCTTGCCCTGTATGTGTCTTTATTTGATTGCTTCTGATTCTTATTCTTTTGAATAAAGTTCAAATCATATATGCAGCATTGTCCTGTCTTCTGTGATTTCTAGCAAATGACCAAATGGGAGGCAGATCCCAGGATTTGCAGGTATTCAGTAATGTGTTGAGCCTGAGGCCAGGCAAGGCATGGGGGTGGGGGGACTGTGTCCCTTAACTTGGGGCACCACATCTAACTAACTCTTGGTGGCTGGCATAGTCTCCGTATGTGGTACAGCGTTGCTTTTGGGACAGAGGTGATGGGACCTGCAAAGATGGGCAGCCAGTCAGTCACATCAGTTCTTTTAACAAATGCCTCTTAGATTTGCTTCTTCACTTATCCTGGGAAGACCCACAATGTCAGACTCTTCAGAGATGCCACTTCATCTGTCCCAGAACACTGTCATTCAGATAAAACTCAGAGTGGTAACTCAGTCAAGGCAAACCATGTGTGCATGTGGCAATGTGGCTATGTGAATGTTAGTGCACCCTGAAGTCTGGAACAAGGCTGGGGTCCCCTGGAACTCTGGGTGGTGATGAGCCCCACTACACAAGTACTGGCAAGAGGGGCAAGCTTAACCGCTGAGCTAGCTCTCCAGCGCAAAGTCAGGGCTGTTTCTGTTTGAAACAATCTTTAACCTGAGAGTGACCTAAGATTCCTCACAGCCCTGTTTCCACCTCCCAAACGCAGGGAACAACTTTGAAGTTGTCTGTGGTCTATTAGCGTGATCCCTGGTGGAGACCGTGTCAGGGTGTGTTAAAATGAACGTTGAAGCTAGCACTGCCATGTCCGAGAACACGGAGGAGAGGTGCGTGAGGCTTGTAGCAGGGAGCGAGGAAGCTAAGCTGATCACATAAGAGGAAGGACAGGGTTGGGAAGTAGAGTCGGGGGCGGAACAGACAACAAGGCCTGTCTTGGCCAGCTCCAGCTGCCTGGGGAAACCCCATGACAAGCACAAAATGCTTTTGCCCTTTTCTATCTCCTGAGACGTGAACTTGAAACAGACAGAACTGTGAGTTAGAACACCTTCTAAGAAAGCCTTCACCCATTCCAGGAAGAGCACCCCAGGGAGGGGAGAGAGGAAGAGCATGGGGGGGGGGGAGGGAGAGAGAGAGAGAGAGAGAGAGAGAGAGAGAGAGAGAGAGAGAGAGAGAGATATCGAGATCACCAAGCAATGCTACAACCACTTCTTGGGACCTTTGTCCCCAGATGGTCAGGCCCTTGATGGTTAAACAGCCTTGCAGCCATAGATAGGTGTGTTTTTTGTTTTTGTTTTCTCTCTCTTTTTTTTTTTGGGGGGGGGGTTTCGAGACAGGGTTTCTCTGTGTAGTCCTGGCTGTCCTGGAACTCACTCTGTAGACCAGGCTGGCCTCGAACTCAGAAATCCACCTGCCTCTGCCTCCCAAGTGCTGGGATTAAAGGCATGCGCCACCACTGCCCGGCTGGTTTTGTTTTTTGATAGATGATAGGTGTGTTTTGCTACACTAGGAACTATGTC